ATCGCTGAATCGAATTTGACTCCAGTATGAATTATCCAACTTTCGTTTCGGTCAGTCCTGTTCTGTCATCGAACTTAAGATTGCGAAAGGAAGTTGCGGAAAAATTTTTTATGCAAATGCATAATTTTATACAATGAGTTTGATTTTGAGCTGACTAGCTACGTAAGAGAGAAAACTTTGTTGAGATAATGTATCCTTTTGAAGTCACTTCTTGTAAAGAGATTTTTGCGGAATCTCCCACCGCGCGCTGGCGACGCGACAAATTTAGAAAAATTGCATCACCATCGCAAGCAAAAAATGAACTATGTTTTGAATTTATGACAAATTTTAATCTTTTTAGATGAAACAACTTAGGGGTTCGACTCCAAATTCGACTCCAAAACTGAATTACCGCAAGTTTGTTTCAGTTAGCCTTGTTCTGTCTTCAAACATCAGATGTGGAAGAGAATTGCGGAAAAATCTTTATGCAAATATACAATGAGATTGGTTTTTAAATGAATAGCTGCGTAGGAGGAAAAACTTTGTTATAATAATGTATCCTTTTGAAATTACTTCTTATAAAAGAGATCCCGGCTTCAGTTCTCAACCGTTACTCCTTTTGGTTTCTACATGGTGGAGGTGATTCTTAGGACGTGTTTAACACATCGGGTCCACCATGTTGTGTTATTTGAATCGTCTTCCTTATCACGTCCTCTTGAGTGGCTCAAAACCTGCATTCTTTGACTATGTAAATAAGATATTCCGATGTCACTGTTTTCATACCTTTAGCCCTTGACACCTCAATATCAGTATGCATATTCTCCATACTATTCTCTTTCCTGAGGTGCTGAAAAATAGAATATGCTTATGATAACAAAAAGAGCTTCTTAAACTGGTGATAATTTCCTTTATTCTCCTAACTTTACTGTGTGATTCAGGGCTGATTTTGTAAGGAGAAATTGATGCTACTTTTTTTTAGGAGTTAAAGGATTAATAGGGCAGCAAAGGGGTTGGTAAGAAGGGGGTTTGATCCCGTTTCATGCATGAATTTTTAGAGAAATTGACGCGTTTCATATAAAGGGAAAACTAAAACTCTCTCTTCTTTTGTGTAAGCTCTAAGTAAATCTTAAGGTTTTTACGGGTCACGTGTATTTCAGAATGGGAAATCATGCCTCACGTTGGACCCAGTTGTTCAAAGGCCGATTAGTAACATCCTTACATAAGCGTATGTATAGGGTCCTCGGGAATAATTGCGCTGAGATCAGTATTGATCGTGAGCTATATCGAGTTCATGTTAGCTTATTGCCTAATGAAGTTCGTTAATTTAGTTTGACACTATCCTTTTCAAACATTTTTGTGAGAAAATAAGGCAAGGCTTTTGGTACAACTACTTGACCTACTTGCACTCGGGATTTATTCACAAGTGTTCCGAGGTTGTCAAGCATGATCCTGAAAAGGATCAAAGGAGGTTCAACTCACTTGAATCCTTAATGGAGTGTTTAATTTTCATTTGGTCAATTTTCTTACAGTGTTCCTAGGAAGGGACCAACGGAGCCTTTAATGCCTCGGAGAGAACCATCACTAGAACCAGATGGCAACTCTGGTTAGTAAGATTACAGAAAGTCTTTAGGATAAGTGAGCTTCATGGTAACTCGTCTTAATTCATAATTGATCTATGTGTTAAAGATGTCAGTTTTGATTAAGTTTGGTTTTTCTTGAATGGGAAAGAAATTTTCTCAACTATTGCCCATGGTTTGGTTGGGGTTAGATTTATCGAGATATTTACTTGGATTGCGCACTTGCATGATTAATTTTAAAGTAATTCGTAGTATATTGCGAAGTGGGTCCCACTACGCATGGTTTCTATGGTCTATGCAGACATTTTGGCTCTCCACCAGGAATATGCTGGACTCAAGACCAGGAAAAGCCATGCATACGGCTTTTCTTTTGGTCAAGCAAAACGAAATTTATATCCAGTCCTCACCATACTCGGTTTGTTCGCCACGCGTATCCAACGAGTGAAATGAAGGGCTTGCTGGTCCGTTTGTTCCCTTATTGGGAAGGCAATTTTCCGTCTCTTCGTCGATGGTTACTCGAGACCTTTGATTTCATTCTCTTTTTCATACCATTCTTTACATACCCTTCAAATATGTCCTTTAGCAGCTTGAATTCAGTACTACCTTCCTCAAGATCTTCAAATGTGTATGAGGCCAGTTCATGTCTTAAAGTTGGATAGTGTACTTCGTTTTCCTTGAGTTTTACCACTGTATTCTCCACTACTTGTTTGAACACAGAAAACTAATGCTAAATGGAACTTGTTTACTATGCTGATTATGTTTGGCAACTAGATGCCTTTCGTATCCACCTTTTGTCTTCTATGTCTTGCCGCAAAAACGACACAAAATCTCCTGAGTCTGAACCTAATAACAAGAAATAGGAGAGTATCATGTTAGCTACATTTACATTGAAAGGAAGTTTGTTTGATTCTCCACAGCAACAGCGAGCTTATTAATTCCTTACCATCCAAAATCAAAACGAAAACGGCGTACTGAAATTGTTGTTATATAAGCTTAATAGTGTTATATATGAAACATGAAGATTTAAATCACTGCTATATACGATTTAGTTTTTATGGTAGGGTTTTGAAAGATAGTTTTCAACTGCTTACTGTACTTCTGACACATGTGCTCAGCTCAGCCGTTTATACGAGCTTTTTTGGATCCATTCGTAAAGTAAGAAACATACTCAAAACTCACAGTTTTCAACTTAAGTCAAAACGTGTTTATCTAACTTGTCATTTCTTCTAAGACGTTCAAAATTGCTTCAAGATCATTCCCAGACAAGAAATCAGCCATAGTGTCCTCCATTTTAGCTTGTAATCTGTGCAGGGTCGCGGTCACGTGATGTCAAGGGTCAACGTAAAAATCAAAACAAGAGAGGCGTCCTTTGAAGTTTACCGGGTTTCATACCCAGTCCCCTTTATTAACTAGGGTGCAAGTCACGCTCGTTACTGTTTTAATTTTGTATTCACTCACGAGATAAGGTAGCGAAAGGGTTTTTAAGATTACAAGCCAATCGGATCTTGCCGGGTTTTGTAACCAGTCCCCTTTATTAACTATGGTGCAAGTCACGCTCGTTACTGTTTTAATATTGTATTCACTCACGCGATAAAGTAGCGAAAGGGTTTTTAAGATTAGAAGCCAATCGGTTCTTGTTACAACTGTTGCTTTGTAGAACTTCGATTCAGCCCACAGTTTGTAAAGACTGACGGCTTGCGTTGGAGGATAATGGCCGACCCTGGTCACTATAAGAAGTAAGTGTCGAGTGTGAAGTTCAGTTTGAACCATTCCGTCGCGGCGAGTTCTCTTTGGCAGCTGGCGGTATGTTTAATGTTAAAAGAAATTGTTAATCTTGTTTGACAAAACAGATTTAGGGTTTTATTACATCCATTTTGAAATCACTGGTGGTCCCTGTAATCTGATTGGCTCTAATTGATGCGATTTATTCCCGTACATTTTCTTATACTGTTTCGGCGCCATTTTGCTTGTAACGAGAACCGCCTCTACCGTGTTGTCCAAAATTTGTGGCAATGATTTGAAAGAAGAGTTGTGCCATTTAAAGGTATAAACAGCAATTGTGATTTGGAAAATCAGCAGGCGCTGTAGCTGTGGCTGTACTGTTGATGAGGTGTTAGCAATGTAGCTTGTCGATGAGTGATTCGAATGCAAGGCAAAATTAATTCAAAACTGAAAGTTCCGAAAAAGGACCGGTTCTATCTCGCTGCCGAAACATTGATTTCTAACTTTAACTTTGTTCAAAGCCACATTGACTAGCCTCTAAACTCGGTTAGCTTTATGGCTTATTGTTTTCATCAATTGGTGAAAAGTCTGGTAAATAACTTTGTTTACTCGAGCCCTTGCCATGTGCAAAAATTGAAAACATCATTACAACAGCAAAACGGTAAGCTTGTCAGCTGAGTACAACTCATTAGGCGGGCCGGATTAATATTTCTTCTAATGAATGACTACTTAAAAGTGTAAGGAGTAATTTTTCACTTTTATATGAGCGTGTATGTAAGGTCCACAAGAATAACTGCGCTGAAATCGATAATGAGTTGTGGTCGTCAGGCTCATTATCAATAAGGTGTGTGCAAATCATACTCCTCTTTTTACGTCAGCAATGAAACTAAGGCAAATGCTTAGAAAAAAGCACTTTCTGAATTTATAACTCCTCCTTTTTGTGTTAAGTGTCCCTATCTGAGAAAGTTTTCCAGGGGCCAGAAGTGGTGGTCAACTGAATCGGCTGAAACTTGGCACAGAGGTTGAGTGCGATAAGATATTTGAAAAGCCACTTTGGCTCACTTCTCTGACTGTTTGTTCTGCAGTTTTAGGGGGGGGGGGTCCCGTTTGTGGCCTGTGGAGCAACAAAAATTCATCCTTCTAGTTGGCATTTTGAAAGTGCTATACAACTCCATCGGTAAACTGTACTGCCAAAGAAATTTGACCATGGACCCTTCTATAGTGGAGCTTTTACTTCCTGAATATAACTTTGTTCTCAAGTGATTAGACAGAGAGGGGCCTGGGGCAAAAGTTAGGTCGAATTTGAGGTCAAAATCATTACCCAAAATTGTCATTTTTCAAAAAACCATAACACTCGCCTGCCTTCTTGAATAACTTTCATACCAAATCCAGTATGTACTTTAGTGACCCATTTATTAAAATCAGTGAGAAAAATTTGGCCTATTGAGGTTTGTTAGGTTTTTGGCACGAACTCTCCATGCCCCTTTAAGGCCGAGCAAATTGGAGTTTTATGCATAGTTCATGCTATAAACAGACCAAATTCTTGACATAAGGCCTGTATTTTGTATTAGGTGAGTGAAAATGAAACATCAAAGCCAAATCAGTGTCATTATCTAGAAGTACCTCGACTCATAGCTTACAAATGCACTAAGAAGGCCTCTGATTAGCACCACAAACACCTAGCGGTTTAGCAAAATAAAGTAAAGTAATGAATAAAAGCCTTGTACCCATCATAGAGCCCAAATGATGTTGTTCTGACCTAGAAATGACAGTATTTTTTAAAGATGCTTGAATTTTCTGTGATCTATGTTTGTTAGGCCATATTTCCATACGTATAATACTCCAAGCATGCAAAGTCTCGATATTTTGTCAGGCCGTTTTTTACTTGAAAATAAAGTGAACTCCACCCGGCCTTAACCATTAAGATAAGAATAAAACGATCGTTAAAAGATGATTCACGTCTCACCTTTGAATTGGCTAAATAGCTCTCGCAAATACCCATCACTACGCGAGCATGACCATGCATACATAATTAGCTTACGTGCAGCAGTGAGCACCGTCCAGGTGACTTGTGATCCACCAGAGATCTTAAGTACTTTAGAACTAAATAAATGGAACTATTTAACAAAGAGGGAATCCACAGTCAGAAGAGTTGGATGACAAAAACTTATTGTTGCTGTTTAAGTGAAATATTCCACACGAGACATTTAGATAATGCCAATAGGGCCGGCCATTTTGGACGTAAGAGTATTAGGACTGGACCGAGTTTCCATCCCTCCCCCTATTCGAGCGTAAATGTTTGTGTCCTTATCAGTTATTTTAAGTGTAGCGATAAGAAGTTTCAGGAGAATTTTACGATGGCGCTTTGTTCCTTTGGAGGGTTAAATGATCAGTGCGGTGCCTTGTCATGGGCTCTGCACGAAACAGGAATGATTCCTTTGTTGTCTCGCGATAATGACATGAATGCTTGGTTAAAACACAAGTACAAGGGGTCAGGTGCGTCCGGGCGATAGGAAGACCGGGTGATGCCGGCCAAAGCTACTAGTACAGGTAATTCAAAATATAAGAAAGGGCTCATACACACGCATTAAAGTAGCAGATGGCTTTTCAAGTGCCACTCTCGCTAAGAGCGGTCCTCTTAACTTCCCGTTCAAAAGAAATTTCCTTGATTTGTTTTCCAGTGAAGAGGGTTTAGTACACATGTTTCAGAAACAGTTTAGTTGTTTTCCAATTCTCTTTTGCATGGAGATTTCAACTTTCGCGAACTCTCTGCCAAGGGAAGATTAGCCAATGTGTTGCAAGGCAAAAACTCAGTCAACCACCGTCATTGTGCGAGTTTTTCGACGTTGAAATTATAGGTAGTGCTAATCGTAAGCCTTCGTATTAGGGACCTCTTCTACAGTTAGCAAATTCCTGTTATTAGCGCAAGTGATGGTCGACAAACCCGCGTTACCTAAAACTCAGTGAAGGTTGCTTGACTCCTCGACTTAGTCCAGTCCTCTCACTCTCACGTCCGATATGGTGGGCTAGTCGATATAATAACAATCGCATCTCGAGGTGTTGCGTGGCATGTTTTACATAAGCTGCAACACAAAATATTTGTTATCCAGCTCTTCTAACTGTGGATTTGTTATTTACTGTCGGATGATTTGATTTATTATGCTATAACGTACCAGGGAAATCGGATGGATCACAAGTCACCTGGACGCTACTCACTACAACTTGCATGTATATTCCTGCTTTTTTACTGATGCCATCATGCGTTTTTCAAGAGCTAGCGAGGCTATCAAAATTTTAACCATAGATCTTCTGTTAAGAGTCGTTTCCGTTAAGCTCTCTTCATGCTGCATCAATAAATGGGTTCGACAAAATAAAGAGACTTTGCATGCTTGTGAGTATAGTATGTATGGAAATATGACCTGAAAAATATAAATCAGAGGAAATTCAAGCATCTCTAAAAAAGGACTGTCATATCTAGGTGAAGACATCATCATTTGTGCTCTATGAGGGGTACTAGGTATTCAAAGAAAAAAATTACCTTTATTTACTAAAACCGGGTGTATGTAATGCTAATCAGAAGCCTTCTCAGTATATTTGTAAGCTATAAGTCGAGGTATTTCTAGATAATGACACTGGGTTGGCTTAGTGTTTCATTTTCACTCACCTAATACAAAATACGGGCCTTATGTCAAGAATTTGGTCTATTTATAGCATGAATTATGCTGAAAACTCCATTTTGCTTGGCCTTAGAGGGGCATAGAGAGTTTGTGCCAAAAACCTAACAAATTTCAATAAACCAAATTTTTCTCAACTGGTTTTGATAAATGGGTCACTAAAGTATATACTGGAATTGGTATGAAAGTCATGCAAGAAGGCAGGTGAGTGTCATATTTTTTTGAAAAATGGCAATTTTGGGTAATGATTTTGACCTCAAATTTGACCCAACTTTTGCCCTAGGCTCATCTCTGTCTAATCACTTGAGAACAAAGTTATATTATGAAGTAAAAGCCTCACTATAGTAGAGTCCATGGTCAAATTCATTTGGCCTCACAGTTTACCAATGGAGTTTTATAGCACTTTCAAAATACCAACTAGAAGGATGAAGTTTTGGTGCTCCACAGGCCATAAATGGGACCCCCCCTGAAACTCCAGAACAAACAGTCAGAGAAGTGAGTCGAAGTGGCTTTTGAAATATCTTATCACACTCAACGTTTGTGTCAAGTTTCAGTTGAATCGGTTGACCCCCACTTCTGGCCCCTGGAACACTTCCTCCAGACAGGGACACTTAAGTTCGCCTCCAGTGTCTTTCAAGTTCGTCGATGATCAAGGGTTCCTGTTTACATTCAACTGGCCTTTTTCCTCCCCTCCCTTTTACTATATGTTTTGTTATAGTTGGCGTATAAAGTATGAAATATTTTTTCCCTGATCTTTGGCTTGTAAGCTTTCCGGATATACATAGTTTGATATAGCCTTCGTACCTGTGAGAAATTGTTGAAAAGTAGCATGATTTTTAGCTTAGACGCGTAACCATGGCGAGAACCTTACCGAGCCAACTTTGAGGATGAGCTTCGGCAGTATCACAGATCAGTATCTAACCAACCAATCTCTAAAGATGAGCCTCAGCAGAGATTCGGTTCAAAACGGTAAGAAATGAGTGGATCAGATGGAAGGTAGCAGAGCTAAAATTTTCTACTCGACCGTAGAAATAGTTAAATAGTTTAAAAAAATCAATTTGACTTAGTCTAAAACATCCATTTATAAAGTAAGGCTCGGTTTAACGTCGAACTTCAAATGTGCCGAACTGAATTTCAGTTTGGGTCGACCCAAACTATTAAATTCGACATCAATGACTCTTCAAAAGTGTTAGCAGTAATCTTTTGCTTTTATATGAGCCTGTATGTATGGTCTAAGATAATAACTGCACTGAAATCCAGAATGAGTTGTGCAGGAGCTTTGGTCGTCAGCCTCATTACCAATAAGGTGTGTGCAAATCATGCTCTTTTTTTTGCTTCACCAATGAAACTAAGGCAAAAAGCACTTTTTTACAACTCCTCCTTTTTGTGTTAAGTTTGCCTCCAGTATCTTTCAAGTTCGTTGATGATCAAGGGTTTCTGGTTACATTCAAATGGCCTTATTCCTCCCCTCCCTTTCACCATATGTTTTGTTATAGTTGGCTTATAAAGTATGAAATATATTTTTTTGATCTTTGGCTCGTAAGCTTTCCGGATATACATAGTTTGATATAGCCTTTGTATCTGTGAGAAATTGTTGAAAAGTAGCATGTTTTTTTAGCTTAGACACATACCCATGCCGACAAACGTTCCAAGCCAACCTTGAAGATGAGCTTCGGCGGTCAGAAAGATCAGAAAGGTCACCACGTTACAAACCAATCACTGAAGAAAAGCGTCAGCCGTTAATAAGATCATTATCTAACCAACCAATCTCTGAAGATGAGCTTCAACAGAGATTCGTTGCAAAACGGTAAGAAATTAGTGGATCAAATGGAAGGTAGCAGAGCAAAAATTTATAAGGCTTAGTGTTTCAATGGTGTATCGAATGTAGAATAGTTTAAGAACTTGAAAAATCAATTTGAGTTAGTCTGAAACATCCATTTATAACGTAAGGCTCTGTTTAATGTCGAACTTCAAATGTGCCGAACTGAACTTCAGTTTGGGTCGACTCAAACTATTAAATTCGACATTAACGACTTCTCNCCCGTATATATGGTCCAAGAGAGTAACTGCACTGAAATCAAGAATGAGTTGTGCAGGAGCTTTGGTCGTCAGCCTCATTACCAATAAAGTGTGTGCAAATCATGCTCCTTTTTTTACGTCAGCAATGAAACTAAGACAAATGCTTTGAAAAAAGCACTTTCTGAATTTATAACTCCTCTTTTGTGTGTTAAGTTTACCTCCAGTGTCTTTCAAGTTCGTTGATGATCAAGGGTTCCTGTTTACATTCAACTGGCTTTATTCGCCCCCTCCCTTTCACCATATGTTTTGTTATAGTTGGCTTATAAAGTATGAAATATTTTTTTCCTGATCTTTGGCTCGTAAGCTTTCTGGATATAGATAGTTTGATATAGCCTTCGTACCTGTAAGAAATCCTTGAAAAGTAGCATGTTTTTTAGCTTAGACACGTACCCATGGCGACAACCTTACCAAGCCAACTTTGAAGATGAGCTTCGGCAGCTTAACCGAACGGAAAGGGTATCACGTTACAAACCAAGCACTGAAGAAAAGCTTCAGCCGTTAACAAGATCATTATCTAACCAACCAATCTCTGAAGATAAGACTCAGCAGAGATTCGGTTCAAAACGGTAAGAAATGAGTGGATCCGATGGAAGGTAACAGAGCAAAAATTTATAAGGCTTACTGTTTCAATGGTGTATCGACCGTAGAAATAGTTTAAGAATTTAAAAAAATCAATTTGACTTAGTCTAAAACATCCATTTATAAAGTAAGGCTCGGTTTAAAGTCGAACTTCAAATGTACCGAACTGACTTCAGTTTGGGTCGACTCAAACTATTAAATTCGACATTAACGACTTCTCAAAAGTGTTAGCAGTCATTTTTTACTTTTATATGAGCCTGTATGTATGGTCTAAGGGAATAACTGCACTGAAATCAAGAATGAGTTGTGCAGGAGCTTTGGTCGTCAGCCTCATTACCATTAAGGTGTGTGCAAATCATGCTCCTTTTTTTGCTTCAGCAATGAAACTAAGGCAAATGTTTAGATAAAAGCACTTTTTTACAACTCCTCCTATTTGTGTTAAGTTTGCCTCCAGTATCTTTCAAGTTCGTTGATGATCAAGGGTTTCTGGTTACATTCAAATGGCCTGATTCCTCCCCTTTCTTTCACCATATGTTTTGTTATAGTTGGCTTATAAAGTATGAAATATTTTTTTTCTGATCTTTGGCTCGTAAGCTTTCCGGATATACATAGTTTGATATAGCCTTTGTATCTGTGAGAAATTGTTGAAAAGTAGCATGTTTTTTTAGCTTAGACACATACCCATGCCGACAAACGTTCCAAGCCAACCTTGAAGATGAGCTTCGGCGGTCAGAAAGATCAGAAAGGTCACCACGTTACAAACCAATCACTGAAGAAAAGCGTCAGCCGTTAATAAGATCATTATCTAACCAAGCAATCTCTGAAGATGAGCCTCAGCAGAGATTCGTTGCAAAACGGGAAGAAATGAGTGGATCAGATGGAAGGTAACAGAGCAAATATCACTTTGGTTAAAATTCTAAAATAACAGTTACTTTACTTAGGTATTTATGCTCTTTACGACTGGTACTGCAAATCGCACGGCCCCCGTAAGTTGTACTAAAACTAGGGGATTTTGGCCCACTTATCCTGAGGGCCTTAAAAATTTTCACCACTATCACGTTGATCTCAAGTCGTCCTTGGTCGGTCAAATTTTCTTTGAGTACTTTTTTAACTAAACGGCCTGAAGAAACATTACTTTGGTTTCTTGATCTTGCATCACACATACGGCATATTTGTCCACTGGGTTATCGGGCTCTCTTCTGGTTGAAAGTTTTTCATTCACTGTTGGTTTCCAGATTTCCTGGTAGTCGTGATATCCCTTTATGTAGGAGTTAATTTGAAGCGAAGCAACATTCCTTGGGCAAACCATTATTTAAGCAGAGCTTGATTTAGTAAATTCAAAGCCAGCATCTAGCAGTTGAGTGCATGCGTCTAATGACAAGGACGCGATACGAGTAAACAACACACGTTAAATCACACTTTTAGCGGAAGTGGATCACTTTGTCGGTATCGTTTTTCAATTTAGGCTTTTTACCGAGGTGGTAATTGGCATGTATTTCTGTGCTGGAGCTTGTGCGGTGATCACACGGCTCTAGAAAATGGCAGAATCTGCTTCTTCCGGACGCAGAAAATAGTCTACTAAAAGTGTTCGTCAAAAATATGAAGCTTTGAAATTGCTTGAGAAAGGTGAAGCCAAAAAAGATGTTGCAGCTCAGTTCAAAGTACCACCGAATACAATCTCAACATGGCTAAAGAACAAGGACAAGATTGTAAAAGCCTTTGAAGGAGGGAGTCATCGAACTAAGTCACGGCTGAAAGCGAGTACTTGTGATAACGTGGGTAAGGCCTTATACAAGTGGTTCATCAGAGTTAGAGATCAAGGCGCACCTGTCGGGGGCCTTTTACTCTAAGAGAAAGCAAGAAAGTATGCCGAAGAGCTGGGAATGGAAGATTTCAAAGCATCTAATGGTTGGTTTGACCGCTGGAAAAATAGGCACAGTGTTACATTTAAAACAGTCTCGGGCGAAGTAAAATCATGCACAGCAGATATGACTGCATCTTGGCAAGAAACAACTTTGCCGACTTTGCTTACAAATTATGAACTGCGAGACATTTACAATGCAGATGAATTCGGTCTTTTTTATAAAGCTTTTCCAAGTAGATCGCTGCACTTGAAAAGTGAGAAATGCATTGGAGGAAAGCACGGCAAAGAGCGCATAACTGGGTTGGCCGCCGCAAACGCTGAAGGAGAAAAACTCCCAATGTTTGTGATCGGAAAGTCCGTCAAGCCTCGGTGTTTTTCAGGCGTGTTAAACTTGCCCTGTAGATATCGCGCCCAGAAAAAGAGCTGGATGAACAGTGACTATTTTTGAAGAATGGGTGCGAGAACAGGACCGGAAGTTTGAGAGTGAAGGGAGAAAGATTGCCTTGATTATTGACAATTGTCCCGCCCACCCACAAATCGACAATTTAAAGGCGATCAATCTTGTATTTTTGCCGCCAAATACGACTTCCAAAACCCAGCCCATGGATCAAGGTGTTATCCGGTCAACCAAAACCCACTACAGGTCTGGTTGTGTGCGCAAATTTATTGAAGCGATCGACAAGAACAAGCCAATGCCAAAAATTACCGTTCTTGATGCAATGGTCCTTCTGACACAGGCCTGGAGCAAGGTTTCAAGGGATACTATTCGCAACTGTTTTAGGAGGGAGGCATCGGGGACAAAGAGCAACAAAGCGCAATCGCTGACGAAGATGACCCATTAAAATCCTAGAAGAAGATTTCGATGCATTGAGACACAAAGACGCGGAACTGGCACCGACAGAAGTAAGAGCTGAAGATGTCATTGAGGCAGATGACGGCGTTATGACATCGGACAGTGCGCTGTTAAGTGATAAAGAAATATTAGAAGAATTCAGAGAACGTGACAGCACAGTGATGGAAGTAGACGATGATAGTGACGATGATGACTCCGAGGAGAGACCACAGAAGCCAACAAGAGCACAAATAACCGAGGCTATCAACACGCTTTCGTCCTATAGTCTGTTTGCTGCAGATGTCGGAGCTGACGAGATTCGTCGAAACATGAATCAGATCGCATACATTATCGAGAAAAACATTTGCAAATCTCAGAGGCTGCTCGCAATTGATACCTTTTTAAGCTAAGCACCGTTTTGTTGATGAAAACATTTGAAATACGTTCAGGGATTACAAACTATTCACTAATATCGCGAAAATAGGGTAAATAAAGTTATGCAGGGGTAAAAACTGCGTATTTATTTTTGACCCCAATAATTCGAACCCCCGATAATTCGAACTATTTTGCTTTTCCCTTGAGACTTCGAATTATCGGGGTCCAACTGTATAAGTTCCTGCATTTTTAATGATCACTCCATCACTTGAAACACCAAAAACGTTTCTGTCTATAGCTGACCATTCATTGTTTGACGTATGAAATTTCACTTCTTTCTCACTATTATGTGCTCATTTATAAGTTGCAAACCATAGTTGTCCTACTGAAGTATCAACATGACTTATTTACAGCATCATTGTTATCTGTCGGTGTATGAATATTGACTATTTTACTATTTCTAACATCAAGATTACCAGTGATTGCTTTACTTTCATCAGCTTTTATCACTGTGTTAATCTGATTACTAACATATGTTTGATAATCGTTCTGCATAACAGTATTATTGTCAGAAACTGTCTTATTCACAAAATTGACATTTGTTGCATAATTAGTATCACTCGGTTGTGGATCTTTAAGAAGGTGTCCACGAGAGGACCAGGCAGTCGTGATACATGCCATCTCACCGATTTCAATGAAACTTTGCCAGTTCAAAGGATCTACCCATAAACTCCAAATGACAAACTGGTTTCTGCTTTGGTTATTTCCGGGGGTAGATGGACCACCCCCCGGTTTTTCTCGGTTTTCACTAAAAAATGGCCTCAAAATAGGTAATATGGAAGAAGCTCTTACTGCAAGTGTATTTAACATATTACTGTAACGGTTTGCATACATATTGGTACATCCTTAGTAAACGTACGATACAAGTTTAAATCGATTTGATTTATTACCAGCATCAAGATTACCAGTGATAGCCACAGAACCATCAGATTTGAAATCACTATCACCTTTGTAATCCTTATCTCCTGTATCACCATTTACTCCGTGTGGTTCTTGTGCACCAGTTGGTCCCTGTAATCCAGCCTTCTCTTGTGGTCCAGTGTTCTCTTGTGGTCCAGTTGGTCCAATATTACAGTTGTCTCTTTTGTCACCTTTAACACCTTTCAAACCGCGTGGTCCTTGTATTCCATAAGGTCCGACATTACCTTTTCGTCCTTGTGAACCAGTGTTACCTCTTGGCCTTTGCGAACCACTATTTCCTTGTGGTTCAGTATTTCCAGTATTGCCTTTCACTCCTTGAGGTCCAATATTTCCTCTCGGTCCTTGTGGTCCAGCAATACCCTGTAAAGCTTATGGTCCAATATCTCCTTTATCACCTTTCACCCCTTGTAATCCTATGTCGTCTTTGATGCCTTGGTCTCCCTTGATACCTTTGTCACCTTTTGGTCCTTGTATCACTTGGGGGCCTTGTGGTCCAATATCGCTTCTGTCTCCTTTCATTCCAATCAAGCCTGGTGTTTCTTGAGTTCGTGGAGGTCCTTGTTCACCATCTTTGCTGCTAAATGATTATCACCGTTATACCAACCCATATGTTAATAATTAGATTACCGACAGTTTTCTAGGCATAACATTTGAATAGTCACCTCCATCTAATCGTCCGTTTGAAGCTGTCAAATAAATGCTTATTTTTTCTACTTTTGTCAATGATGGAACACAAAAGACATGTATATCAACCCATTTATCACTTGTGTTTTCATATTTTGCGATTAATGTGGTTACAGAACTAATGCCAGGTTTTGGTGTATTCAATTTATGGAAGTTGCGGAACCTTTGTAGCTGTCTTTCGTTAAATGAATCTCATATTAGCCATCTTCCTGAATTTCTCAAAAACAGCGTGAATCAACTATTACATCGTTACTATTTTACACCAGACTACAGCTGTATTTGGAATAGTACCAAATTGTACTATTTTTGCACTGTTATGCGGAAGGCTTCCACAGTAATATTATAAATTAGTTGTCTTATCATCAAATTGCTTCTTTGCAACTGGGTTATTATTGTTGACAGCAGCAAGGGCTATTAGCTCATCTGTCATTACCGCAAGTGTTTGAAATTTAACAGTGCCCTTGATTATTTCATGAACCTTATGCCACACAATTGTTGCAACATTATTGTCATATCCTGAAACACCATAAACAACAACAAATATTTGTAAATCTTGTGTGTAACTATTACCGGATTGGTTTTCTTGACGCATTTCAATTTATCACTGAATTCAGAAGAAGGGTTGTCCATAAGATAGTAGAAAGCATTCTTCATTTCAGTACTTGTCACCGAATGATTTAGCTAGTCATCAAAATACTTTTCCGTATTCCGAAACTACACAAACCTGGTTTTCCGATGCGACCTATTGTTTCTTTCTGTGGCTCTCCCACATACCAACTATCCAAGTACCTGACGACAATACTACAACCGCTAACCGACAAATCCAGACATAAACTACAATCCACTGAAGACTTCATTAACGCTACCAAGACTGTTCAGATACCTGACGACTACAAACTAGTGTCATTTGATGTGAAATCACTGTTCACAAGTATTCCACTTCAATTGGCATTGCAAGAGTGAAAATTATTTATATATTTTTTGTACATCAATAAAATTGCAGTTAACTCTATGCATTGTAGTGCACGATAATAGTAACGAACAATGCTTGAGCCTTCCAGCTTCCCGGCCGCCACTTTGTTACGTCGTGCAACACGAATCTCGTTGTGGAGAGAGCGTGTCACGCTTCTTGCTTTTATTTTCAGTTA